TGCCTTGGTATTTTTCTTTTTACAAGGTACTTTTTATTCTCTGACCTCAGGCTTTTATGATTTATATCTGAAGAAGGAATGAAAAAGAGTTTTTTCACCCAGTGCTGAATATATTAAAATAAAGCTAGTAATGTTCTGAAACAAGATTTAAAACAAAAACCTCTTTAGATTTAAGCTGATAAATCCTCAGTTCAGTGCTTAAGGACTTGAAGTATTGCTTATTGCCTGCTATAGGTTAGGTTACGTTAATTTTTCTCTGTGTGTGTGTATGTGTGTAGCAGAAGGGAAGATTAATCCATCTTTTCAAGTACTGAGGCCCTTTGAAGATCAAAGCCAGTAGGACATAGTTAGATGAATTACACTGACCATTGTTCTGGTAGTCAGATGTTTCTAGCCCCAACAGTTCACCCCACCCATATGCAGAGCTTCTTTAGAGTAGAGTTCATAGAAGGAAGTGTTTCAGACACAGTAGTGCCAAACCAGGCATTTTTACTTAAATGTACCTTCATCAGTGACTTAGACCAAGATGCCACACTTTGCATTGAAGTAATTGAGGCTTATGTGTGTATTATGCTCTGCTGATTTGGCTTTTAGGGCAAAAACTTCTGGTACAAGGTTGTGAGGGAAAACCAACAGGAGTAACTGCTTGAAGAGCCACCAGCTGTGAATGGGCTTTTTCACAGCTTTCCTAGTTTTGTTGGTATGGTTGAGCTGTGTTTCAAAGCGTGTGTTTTTCGCATCTCAGCCCTGGCATTTGAGTGCAAGTACGCTTATGATTGTTGATATAACTTTAAAAGTGCTCGTAAAGAGTGTTCTGGATATCAAGCTTTACTCTTTCTGTCTTTTTTTCCTCTCCTCATTCTTGATTTCTTAGGAAGGTGAACACTGAATATAGGTCAAAATTTTTGTCTCCAGCCCAGTATTTCTACAAAGATGGAGCTTGGTCTCGTATTAGGAGTAAAGTTCCCAACCAGGTGAGCATTCTTAAAAAATCTGAAGCCTGAGTATGCTTTGTATTCTGATTTTTAGATGCAAAAAACTTTTTGTTGTGGTGTTTATAAGATACAGTTTTGAGATTGTAATGCTAACGACTTAAGCTCCCAAAAGTGAGTATACAAAGATGATTAGGTTCTGACAAGACAGTATAGTATATAGCAAGAAAAAAATAAGAGATAGTGTGACTTTAAGAGTATATTAATAAGTGACAACCAAAGTGAGGGAGGAATTTGAGATTTTGAAAATAACATTCTCTGAGAATTGCAGGAGTAGTGTGGTAGCATCCAGTTCTGTGTTCTCTCACTGGACTTAATCTAGCAAGTCAGTTTCTTTTTAGGCAAAAAGAAATATTACTGTATTAAATATATACAAAATATTCAATGAGAAATGGCTCTCGAAGTTTAAAGTCTGTCATGTGATGATTCAGAATCAGATTTTGTGTATGCATGCATGAGGTAATCCGTTCTGTGAAAACAGCCTCATAAGGATGTTAGATGACTAAAAACAAGCAATATTTTAATTTTTTTATATGTATTGATATATGCATTACATTTACTGTAGCTAAGGCTGTAGAATATTCTGAACTATTGCATGCAGCCTGACTAAGTGGAATACAGAATGTTTCTGTAGAATATTATGTAATTTTTCTGGCATGTAAGACTTTCATTTGGAGACTGGATATTGTGCCAGTAACATTCAGAACAGTCAGGAGTAGAGCTCAGCTTCAAGAGCAACTGATTGGTAGGCAAGTGAGGGGAAAGGGACACACGACCTTGGAGTGTACGGTGTTTGTGGCACAGCCAGCTGGAAGGAGTCATTGCAGTGCAGTCAAGGGAAAGATTGAGGAGACTGCAAGTGGAGGATGGGTGTTGTGCTTTACCAGGCAGAATCCTTTTTGAGTCAGGTTTGAGAGATGTAGGAAGTGAATATATGTGACATTTAATTAGAGGAATTCCAAGGAATTCCCACACTGTAGGTAGGTGTTTTGGCTGTGTCTAACTTTTCCATGGAGATTTTCTTGCTGACAGGGGAGTCGCAGAGGAAACTATAAAGAAGTCACTTGGGAGTAGGCATGAAGAATTAAAAAAAGACTTGTGATTTTTAGGACCTTCTAAATGAAGTTGTGCTTGGTAGCTGGAAGAGCCAAATTCATTTGAAGACTATAATAACAAATGTTTTATTGATGACTGATGTGTTTAGGTTACATACACATTTTTATGTATGCATACTTACATTAGATCCTAGTATGAGTTCATATGGAAGAGACTCTTACAATTGGAATTACCTGAATTTCTCCTCTCTTTGTTAGACTTTAAATCACAGGCCTGTGAGCATATGTCACGGCTCAACCCAAGTAGGCAGCTGAGCTCCACACAGCCACTTGTTCACTCCCCCTCAATGGGGTGAAGGAGAGAATTGGAAGGGCAAAAGTGAGAAAACTCAAGAGTTGAGATAAAGACAGTTTAATAGGTAAAGTAAAAGCTGTGTGCTCAAGCAAAGCAAAATAAGGAATTAATTCACTACTTCCCATTGGCAGGCAGGTGTTCAGCCATCTCCAGGGAATCAGGGCTCCATCCTGTGTAACGGTTACTTGTGAAGACAAATGTAACTCCATATGTCCCCTTCTTCCCCCGGTTTTTATTGTTGAACACAACATCATATGGTATGAAATATCTCTATGGCCAATTGGGGTCAGCTGTCCCAGCTGTGTCCCCTCCCAGCTTCTTGTGCTCCCTCAGCCCACCCACTGGTGGGGCGGTGTGAGAAACAGAAAAGGCCTGGATGCTGTGTAAGTAAGCACCATTCAGCAACAGCTAAAACACCCCTTTGTTATCGGCACTGTTTTCAGCACAAATCCAGAACATAGCACCATAGGAACTACTATAAAGAAATTTTAACTACGTCCCAACCAAAACCAGTGCAGCATATCCAGCTAGATTTGCTAGTAGACAGAGAATAGTATTTAGCTTCTGTAAATGTGTTAGTGTGGGATTTTTTTTATATGGAGTTTTTTTTAATTTGCTATGGTCCTGTTAATATTTCCATATGTATCATTGAGGGTTATAACTCTTAAAAAGAAGCTTTTTGTGTGTGTGGTGAAAGCAAAGAGCAAGGTTAAAGCTTGGAATTTTCCAGTCTTCAGGACAGGTTGGAAGAAAACCAGAGTTAATTCTTAAAACCTGTCTTAATACAAGAATAAAAATCTTGATTGACCTGATTCTTGGCCAGACTTTTTTTTTTGTCAGCATCCATCAATATTTTTGTTATAAGAACTGCAGAATGGGATCCAGCATAGCTAAAATAGTAGGACTCAATAAAATATTTAATTCACTGTTGATATATATGAAAGAATCTAGCCATTTGAGAAATGTGTTAACAGCAGATTAATGTAAGTATGCATAACTTGAAAAAAGTGTCAAGAGCATCTGTTTTATAATAAAGCAACAAAGGCACTTTGGCCATTTACAATACAGACTGCCCAACAGGCCTTTTGGTTTCTAAACAATTCCGTGCCTGTTCCCAGTATTTTTCACTGACATGAAGGGAAATGTTCTGCAAAGCTATTTCTAACCTCTACCTTTGGTTGATCACTGGGACTCACTCCTGCCACAGGTGCTTACAGAACATCTATCACTTAGAGTTAAGTGATTAGATGATAAGCTCTGATTGATCCAGTCTGCTTTCCCCCTTAGTTGGGACTGCACATGGATAACTTTGGGTCCAAAGCAGACTTTCTAAAGTTCTGAGCCCAAATAGGCAAAGACCTTAATAGAATCCTGGTATGACCTCAGCTGTAGTGATTACTCCTAGACTGCTACTCTACAATATATTATTAAGGGTTGCCTTTCAGCAATGAAAAAGATTTGAGTTATGCTTTTGAAAAATTAACATGGGCAATTCATAATCACAGTAGGACTCTGGGGCCTGTGCCCTGCTGGGATAATGCTGCCTGCTGAGTCACTGAAGGAGACAGTTGTCCTTTGTACTTCTTCACAATTCACTGGAGACATCATATTCTTCCTCCCCCTGCAGTGTCCTGTTGCTCTGGATTTATATTCCTTCTGTTGTCACTATCATAATTAATTTTTCATTCTTAAAGTAAATAATCCAGTAGATCACATGCAGCTCAGAGTTTAAAACTCTCCTCTTAAAATGACAATAATGGGCTCTTCTTTGGAAGTTTAGGGGGTCAAATTGTGGGATGGTAGATGGTGTGGGCTAAATGGATTTCCATCTGCTGCATCCGGTTACTTTTAGTGGGTTTAGCGGAATTTGGCCCACTTAACTCTGTTCCTTCAGGAAGAACGATGCAAAGTCTATCATGAAAGAAGAATAAATAAGAAAAGCTATGAAAATGTGCTAGAGGAAGTGTCAGTGTTACTTTCCTGCTCTTTGACAAAATACTTACTTCCTGTGAACCATTTTTTAGTGAGCTAGAGTTCACATAACAATATCACAAAGTTATTTTTGATCATATAAACTTAAAAGTTTTGTTGTTGCTTTTTCTTCCGGCACTTTAATTGTGTTTGGGTGAAGGACACAAGACAGTGTGAGTGTAAAAATAGTTTTAACCATAAAAGTGATAGTGTAAAATCAGCAGCATAGTATCTAAAGAGAGGACTTACCACTTTTTTTTAACACCTGACATCTCATTCTTATAGTCCCGATAGCCTAGAAGGAATGATTTTGATATTATGTCTTACATGCAATAGCACCAAGAGTTCTCATGCAATCATCAGCTCCTCACTGACATGGGATTAATGTAGCTAGAGACAGTTGCAGCATTCACAGCATACAAACTTCTTATTATACGTGCACATAGACCTGTTGACTTGAAATGATAATTAATTAGTGTGTGGTGAATATATTTTTGCGTGTTAGGGCTTAGAAATCTAAATTAATTTCCTCAAGCTTGGCAATAACTGGTGAAATACCAGTGCTGATGTATTTGTTTTACAGCTTGTTACTGAATCTCAGGGAGGCAGCATAGAGCTATGTTGACAGGTTTTTAGTATTTAATTTCTTACTTAGAGTGAAATAAAGTTACAATGGTGATAATAACAATGCAATGTTGAGAGAAAAATAAGAAATTTTAAAATGATTATGTATTCCTCTCCTTAGGCATCTCAAAACACCCTAAATTCCATGTGGTATATGGAGGTTTGTTGCATCTAAGTTCCTGTTTCAGTTTTTGGAGCACTGTGCCTCAGCGCTGATGGAAAAACTAGAATCCAGCACTAAACTTATTCGTAGTTGCCGCATAACTTTTTGTGCTCATTGAATGAGTAATTGACAAATTTGCTTTGGCTTTGTGGCTCAAACATGCTTACTAAGTATACACTTTTGTTATTTTTGCTTTTCTTTTGTTGCATTTACTGTGGCATGCGGTGTTTGTGCTGTGAGTGGCCCTGTATTATGAGTAACTTGCCTTTCTCCTTTAGCTGCTATTAACTAATGCAAATACTTCATAATAGCCTGTTAGAGAACTTTAAACAGACATGCAGCTTATGAACCCTTGATGTGCAGGTGAGAGAACTTCGAGAAAGAGCAAAGGCTTACAGGCAACGAGTAGAGGGAACACACTTCTCCCGATACCATCTCAATCAGATCCTGTCTGACAATAACAGTCTTTGGGACGTGTCCTCAAATTCCAGTTCAGAAGAAGGCATCAGCAACAACATCAGAGCGCTAGATCTTGCTGGGTAAGGTTGTCATTCCTGCCTGTTATTCTGCAGCTTTGAAACAAAGCAAAATGCTGAATATAGGCTTAGCATAGCTGTTGAGATTTTGGATTTTTTTACTGTTGTCAAGATGTGATTGGACAGGGTGCTCAATAATCTCATCTAGGCTTCCTTTCCCCATGGAAGGTTGGACCAAATGGTCTTTTGAGGACCCTTCCAACCTGAGCTGTTCTATGATTCTGTGATATGTAAATTCTCTAGAACAGATGAGAGCATTTACCTTTTCATAGATAAATCAGTTGATCTATGCTCAAATTGAAAATGAGGCACAGTCCACTCTTCTGAAAGAAGAGAAAGTTACTCCTTTATAATTCTCCACAAATGCATATTTAGTGTGACAGCCTTAATCTCGTCAAGTCTGGAGGAATTTTGCACTGAGTCATACTGAAGTAATATTCTTTCCACTGTAATGATATGAAATATGTGTTGCTTACTCAGATGTTACCAATGATCTTGTTGGGATTAATTAATCGTGTCGTTGAGTCTTAGACACTGTTTAGTTCTGAGATGAGGCCTTAGGAAATGAAATGGTGTACATCCATTTTCTCCTTTCTTTGAAGGCCATCAGAATTAGCAGATATTAAATCCTTTGCTAGGAAAATTCATAATTAGTGTTTTAGTAAAATGTACAGACAGCTATTGCTGAAGCAAGGAGGGGAAAAAAAGCCATTTGTGTCTTTTCAGAGGTTTGATATTTAAAAACAGTGCCTTGGATGCCTCTGCAGTCCGCTTAGGCTGCTGTATGTGCGCTGCTTGTGTGTGTGGGAGATATATACCCATTTGCATGACTGTAACCCTAATAAGGGTTGAGGGAAGACACATAAAAAAGTATTTGTTACACTATAATGTACGATGTTAAGTATGGTGTACATTTTTTGGTTTACTGGTTTGATTTTTTTGCCTGTGAAATATAGATCCTCTTACTGATGCCTTTTCTGTGCCCCGGGCTAATTTACACTGATTTCTGTGAGCAGAAAACTTTCTAAAGTTGTGCCTAAAGAGGAGTATTCTAAACTGCTTGGCTTTCAAAATGGTGCCATCAGACAGTTCCCGTGCATGAAACTACATTTTGAACACTTCTGATAATCTTAACTCATTGTTTAAATTGGTAATAGAGCCCTGATTGTACATTACATTTTTGGAAATGGTAATCCAGAAATAGTTTTCATAGTTTGAAAATGGGTAGTGCTTAAAAATCAGTTAAAACTTCAGTGGAAATTTAACCATTTATCATGTCAACTGTACCGCTTTTTAATATTTGAGCTGTACTTCTGGCAAAGGACTGAACTGGATGGATATGTTCTACATAGACACACGCATATTGATGGTATGAAACACTGCTCTCTTTGTTACCTAGAGTTTCTGAAAAAGAGACTGCACCAAGCCCCAAAATGTTGCAGCAGCCTGACTCCAGAGGACAGCCACACCAGGACAGCATCGAGAAGAAAGACATGTCAGATGCTTTAACTGTTCCAGTCAAAAGACGTTTAGTTTGGGGTGAACAAGAAGGTACTGAAGAAAGGGAGAATCGGCAGTCAACAGAAGGCGAAGAAAAAAAAGATGAACAGGCTGCAGTCGTGGCTCAGCAGTTACAAGAAAACAATAAAGATGCCAATGAAGTTAAGAAAATTGAAGGGTAAAACAGTATTTTTGTTGTGTGTCTATATAATTTTTTCCTTCATCTCAGAAATTTGTAAGTTAACTAATTTTTGTTTTTAAATCAAATTTACTTAAGAGGGTATAAGTTGGTAACTTGCAAGACAGAAGCTTGTAGAAGCATGAAAAATTCCAATTTATTTTTTTCCAAAACTTTAAAATTTCCAGTATGGGCCTTTCTGAACAGACTGTTCGTTATGCAGTAGCCAAGTGTAGTGAAAATTAAAGCTCACAACTTGCTTCAGATTGGCAGTGTGGGGTTAATAGGACTGGAAGGATAGAATGCATGCTAGTCTTGTGTTTAAGCATCTGTTCTTCTTAAAAAAAATTCATGGACAAAGATAAAGCCCTTAGGAGGAAAAAATAACTAGCATCCAGTAATCACTGGTGGTTATGCTACTGAGCACAGGTGGGAAAAAGGTGAAGAGTTGTTTAGAAATAATGAGAGATCAGTTCAGTATGTGCATAGTAATGTATTTGACAGTTGAAAGATCCAAATCATGTCTCGTTACGGAAGCATCTGGCTTTTTACTGGGCAAGTTTTGCATACTTTTTTTGGTAGATCAGTATTTTAGTCTGATAGATATTTGAATCTGAGTAACTTTGACCCTTGTTACCATACCATGTAAGCATTTTGTATTCCTTATTGGCTTTTATCCTTGGTATTGCAGCATGAATCTAAGGTAAGGAATTGTAATTGTCCCCTTTGGAGATAGTATCCTGTATGCAAAACTCGGGCAAAGAAAGGTTGAGATGCTAGCCTTAAACAGAAATTGAATGCAGGCTTTCAAAACTGTCATCCTGAAAACCTTCTAAAGGTTCTGTCTAATTCTAGAGATGATCTAGTTCATAGATGTGTCTCAGATCGACATTAAAGATTTTCTGTCATCCTGCAATGTGGCTGTGTGTGTGCTGAGATCTGCTCTGGACTTGGCCCTACAGAGCAGCTTAACACTTGCATGTTATCTAAGCCTGCTTGAGAGCTACCTCCTTTTGAAATGCATCTGGAGAAAGAAGACAGAAGTGGTAGTGCTGATTTATTTAATAACCTGGGGGCTAGAGCGGTTACATAAATGTGGGATACTTGGTTTCAGTTCCACCACATTGACTGAAAAGGTTCAAACCCACATTCCCACCTCTAAGGTGGCAAGCAGGTTCAAAGTTTTTCTGGGTGAGTATTCTTTCCAGCCCTCCTTTAGAGCCTCTGCTGCTGTGCAGCAATACATTCAAAGTTTACTGGGACAGAGGGAGCCTGAATTCGCAGCTGGAGACTGTTTATGTATTTTATCCAGTTACATTAGAAAAAAAATAAAATACAGAAACCGAGGTTCAGGGGCTGCAATCCCGGACTTCCCACTGGAAGAAGATGTTTTAGCTACTGGCTCTTGGTGTTACATGGCCCTAACTGTCTTGCCTTGTGCTTCATTGTGGGAATGTATTAGAAACAAAAAGCTTGAGTGCAAGACTAGTGAGTCCTTAGCTAATCCTTTAATTGTTTCTTATTTTTTTGCAGTGACAATGCCTTAGTATTAAATTCTTCTGCAGCTGTGTCAGATTCTTCTTCTGTATCCTCAAGGACAGGTGGCAGGCTTCCTACTCCAAAGCTGAGAGCGCTTGGTGGAGCTCAGAGGACTCATCATGATCTCACTACCCCAACTGTTGGTAAAAACTTAAATTCAGAACAGTATTTCAAGAACTAAAGAAAAAAAAAAAGACATATGAATTAATTTAGTAGGTTACTTAAGGTAACAAAGCATTTTTCATCTTCTTCACCACAATAGGAGGTGCGGTTCTAGTGTCTCCTACTAAATTCAAGTCTTCATCTTCACAGCAGAGAACACGAGGTTTAGGAACAGACTCTTATTCAGCTAAGCAAGGTGCAAGAGGAGCTTCAAAAAGAAGGTCCTTCCAGGTGAGCCAGAAAAGAGACTTACCATTATGCATTTTAGAAATGTGCTTTTTAAGAAATTGTGAATAATTTATTTAATAATTCTTTTTCTTGAGTTGTCATTTACTATTCTAAAATTTTCAGCATCTCTAGCTAAAAAAGGCTGATGTCTGAATAAATATTATTTTTGGATATCAGGCAAAGGAGTCGAGACTATTGGAGTGAGATTGGATAAGCTCCGTTTTGTCATCTTCTGCTAAATGCACAGGTTCTGTTTAAAAAAAAAAAAAAAATTGCCATCAGGAGCTGTCGTTTTCCCCATTAATCTGTAGCTTCCCACTGATGTAGGGCACAGCTCCAGATTCCTTGACTTGAAAAAAGTTTAAGAAGGAGAGTTTGGGTGCCTTTGTATGAGATAGTAAATGTGCAGTAATACTTTCATTCTCCCTTTCCTTTATTTTTGTGTTTCATTTACTTTGCAGCTTCCACAGTTGTTAAAAGAAAAATAGAAAGATTTAGGAGTTGTTTAACTGTCTTCCTCTCAAAATTGTGGGTTATTTTGTCAAGTTGTGCTTAGTCTGTGTTCTACAAAGACAGTTAGCATTTCACTGCCTACATCCTCTGTACTAAGTTCTGTAATAGAAGCAGACACAATTACATGATAAGTTGGTTATGTTGGTTTAGTCTAAGATCAGTTTTTTGCTGTGAAGAAAAGTTTTTAGTTTGATCTGACTAGGTTACTTTCCAACCATGTTAAACACTTGTTATTAGGAATAGATTTTCTTTAAGCTGTCTCACAAGCTTGAAATACTTATTCTTCCAGTACCCTCATGAGAAGTGTAACAGTGTACAGCCAACATTTGCTGCATATATGCAGCTCTGTACTGGAAGGCTGTCTATGAGATGTTGGGTTTTTGTGGTGTGGTGTTTTTTTGTTGTTGTTTTTTTTTTTCCTTTCTGTTGTGTTTTAGCCTGATGTGGAAGTGGAAGCTGTTTCACTCCTTACCTCTCCACCTGCTGGGCTGGGAACTTTGGATCCTCTGCCACTTAGGCAGGATCAGTGGCCTCCTAACAGTGTTTCTCATGAGGAAGTTCCTCTTGCTTCAGCCCATCAAGAGCGTTCCTCTACACCTCCTCTGCTGAAGTCAGCCAAAAACCGCTCTATGCCTTGCTGGAGTCCCTCTCGTCGTATTCAAGGGACTCTCAAGGATCCAGAATTCCAGCATAATGGTGGGTTTTTTGTATTAACTGGCGTGTGAGAGTGCTGCAGGGTGGAAGTGGCTACTGTGCAGTGTTCATGCCAAGAGAGTGCTGAGCTTGCTGCCTCACAGGCGCTACAAAGAAGGTGTTGTTTGTCAACAACAGCTTTTCTACTAAACGTTTAGTGTTGCTGAGGAAACGTGCACAACTGTCCACCTTAGTTTCAGATTCCACTAATATAATTGTATTCTAGTGGTCTGTTACCTAATTTTGCCGCCTTAATTTCAGTAAGTACTTACTCATTATGAGAATAATCTGGTTTAGCCTGAGCAGTTGTCATTTTAATCTTAGGCTACAACTGGATGCTGTGACACTTTTACAACTGGAATTACCAACAGTGATGTGTAACTGGGGACCTTTATAGTATGGTGTTACTTCGCAGGAGTTGTGGAGAGAGATCTGAGAGATAAGCTCCTTAAATATTTCTGCAGGGTATGGAAACAAAAAAGCCATCTCCAAAAGATTTATTGGGTGTTGAGAAAGGCCATTTCTTGGCTGAAGAGGAATTTGTGCTGGAGCATTTCAAAGATTTTTAACAATGTTTGGGCGTACTGGTGGCATAAATTTAATAAGGAAAAGAATCCTTCACCCCTTAGTCAGAATAAAAGTTATGTACTGAAGTCTTCATTCCAGAAAGACTTTCTATAGCCGCTTAAGGTCCCACAATTCTTAGTCCTTTTGTTATAAAGATTAGCTAAACTAAAGTACTGTTTCCATCCTAGAATGGAACAAGTAGTTGTCAGGATAAATGGGATGGTGAAATTCAGAGATTTCATCGGAAAGGGGTTAGAATTGATGCTGTGTTCTAGCTCTGCACCTTGAGTGCAGTTCATTAAGTAACTTGTAGCATCTGCCCAAGATAGGTGCCTTGAAAAGAATACAGTGGAGTAAGTTTATTTTACCTCAGCTTAGAGTAAAGGAGTCTGGTGGACCTCTTGGTATGTTTGCTATTTATAAGACTCATGTTTTGAAAATAATGTTGTAACATTTAAAAATATTCTAAAATGAAATATTATCCTTTGTCTATTTTTAAATAATTCAAAATTGTGCCTTTGACTTTTTGTCTTAGGGAATGTTGGCAATCCAAAAACGAGATCTTTCCAGTTACCTCTTCAGGAAAGAAACTATAATGTTGAAGGTATTTCTTGTCCCAAATTATTACTGTATATCATGTGTATATTACCTAGATTAATTTTAACTTTTGCACTAATGTGAGAGATTTCTGCATGCAGTAAGTAATACTACTTTATGTGTTTGCATGAATACTTACTGCATTGTTTCATCAAAATAATTTGAAAATATTCTTCCTAGTAATCTGAAGATTTATTCTAGTATAATAAATCATTAAATGCGGCTGAAAATTAAATAGACCATTGTGGCTCAATGTGGTTAATACAGCTTGCTCAGTTCCCTACCTAAAATTGTTTCCTGCCCCCACATTTTTTAAGCCTTTGTGTTGATAGCAACAGAATCAAACTGCAAAATGATCACAGCCCAGGCTACAGCTGCATTAATTTTGGATGCAACCTAAAAGGTACCATAAATCTTACAGTATTTGTGAGAATTCAGCACCAGATATTCAGCATGAAATGATTCCTCTGAACTTAATTTTCACACCCGTTCCTCTGCTCCGTGTGTTAGGGGCACTTACGGCATCCTCTTATTCCAGTTGCGGTTTTGGCCTTTTTTTGTGTTCACTGTAAAGTTAATCTGGGGGAGCAGCCAGTGCACAGCCCACCAGTGCATCTTCTTGGCCCTTTTGTGGGCAGACACAAATAAAATCTTTCAGTAATATGATTCAGCCAAAGGTGCTGTAGCCTCATTAGCTTGCGCTGCTATGTGTTGTTTCTTAGCATGGTGTACGAGGTTGAGCTTGGTGTGGTGCTGTGCTAGTCACAATCACCTATGTTTGGTTCACAGAGCAAACTTTTATCTGATTGCAGTTTATTTATAGATATACCCCAAAGCAATCAAAAGCTTTTTTTTCTGTACCCCTTATGCTTGTTTGCTCCTTGGTTTTAACCAAGGTTCAGGCCGATTCTCTGTTTTACTCATTGCAGTTGGCTGGAAAACGTGTGGGTTGTGCAGATGGCTCAGCCAAGCATCTGTGATCTACATAAAACATGCAAAATCCTATAGTACTCTGCAGCTTCCCACAAGCTTGCTGCACACAGATTAAATGCTGCAACTGCTGTTTCTTTTTCTTTTTTTTTCCTATGGGCTGATTGATGATGTACGAGCTTTCAGAAGCTGGTACAATGTGCCAGCTCACAAATATTTCATATGCCCATATTTGTTCATGTACGTACAGACCTGGGAGTTATTCCAGTGACGAGTCTATTTGCAGAAGCGCAGTTAGCACTTTCCTCATACATGGGAATATAGTTATACATAGTGTGTGAGCCCGTTATGCGCTGTTTGGATCACTGTATTTCAAGGATTTAGAAATGCTGCTGAAAAGTTAATTAAAACTTGGACAAAGTACAACTTCTGTTAGGATTGAGTTTTGGAATTTTTTTTTGTTTTTTGTTGGTAGGGTGGACTGGAAAGTAGTGATGCAGTTGTTTTTAATCCATTGCAGGAGAATGGGTGTAATTAAGGTCATTTTTCGTAGAGAGTATCTTGACAAAGCTGTAGCAACATTTTAATAATGATGTTAAAGAAGTAAAATGTTGTGCTTTGTCAGAGAAACAGCATCCAGGCTGCTTAATTTCAGGAGTTCTGCTGGATGTGAAGTGGACCCTGTATTCAAAAGGAAGACCTTTCAAAAGTACATTTTTAAAGCATGCTACTTGTTGTCTTTGTGTTAAACTTCCTGTTTTCTTCAGAAGACACATTTGTTTTAACAGCTTGTGGCGCGCTAGCTGGCTTTGGCACAGAAGGGCTCTTTCGGCAGCATAGGTTCTGATGTTTTAGTCATGTGTTATTCTAAGGTTGTCTGCTTTGCTTAAAGAGGTGGGTTGCTTTCATCTATATGTTATTGTGAGAGTCTAGTCTATACAGAGTTCAGTGGCAGAGGAATGACTTCTGAGGTTTTCTGACACAGGAGAGTAAAAGTAAAGATGACCTGGAGGAATGGGCAATTCCCATTCAGGAATCTCATTCTGGAGTTTGTTGAGTTGGGCATGTAGTCTCTTAAACTTAGATCCCAGTAGCTACTATCCCAGTAGCGAGGTTCTTCTCCAGCATGTCAGTTACCAAGTAGTAGAATTAAAATGTATTGTGGTACTATTTTAGCATACACTGTGAAAGAGGGCATAAAAACATTTGCACTTTCAAGTCTGCTATGAATGTCAGCTGTGTTTTAAAATGTATATTTAATCTTCCTGTTTAGTTTTTCCTTTGTTGCTTTCCCCACAGATGACAGGTTGTCTCAGATTTCTGCTCGCTCTGCAGCATCCAGCTCGCTTGCATCTGAGATACTGGAACGAGCTCAGAAGAGGAAGGATTTCTGGGGCAAGACATGATGTCTCCCACCTGTTGTATAGAAACTGTTCTGTAAAATGTTTTATTTTTTTATCATTTGTAGTGTGTATCTTTAAAAAAGTAATGATTGTAGATACCATGCAACATCCTTTCACTTGGCATTAATGTGGCCCAACTTTTAGGACTTGCCATCCCAATTTAAAATTTCAGTAATTAAACCAGGGTTGAAAATGTAGGTCCTTTATAGCGCAGGGTTATGTCTTAATTCACTGTGTCACAACAGCCGTATGAGGTTTTATTTTTTTTTTTTGCAGTGGCACCTTTTGAAACTGAGACAATTATTTTTTTTATGCAACATTTGTGTTACTTTTCAAGGTATTCTGCTGCAGTCATGCAGTATGACCTGAGACAGCATACAGGGGCAACGCCATCATTCACCAAACACCTCAGTTGCTTGATTTTAACCAGCTATCTTAAAGGCAACCGTGGTATATTTGTTTATGTTACTGTATGAACTGTGAGTACAACACAGTGCTGTAACAAAAAGTTACTTTTTCTACTTACTGCTTTTAACTTGTTACCAAAAAATTCTTATTATTTCTTAATGAAGCTAGCATACAGGAGTTTGAGAAAAGGACATTAAGCTTTAGAGTTTGTTATTGTCCACATTTTTTTGGCCAGGATGCCTATTAGAGTTCGATGTGAGACAGTACAGCGGTTTGTCAGATGTACTGCTGTGAACGCTTGTTTTTTGTGGGCAAGACCCGTGTTTAGTGTTAATTTTAGCTTCTCTAGAAAAAAAGAACTCCAGCCCTTAAACAGCCACTTTAAACAGTGTCCTTCCCCAGCCCCACTTTGAAGTGAAAACCTAATACTCAGGTATTTAGGAGTAATTAATATCTTAAAGTAAACTCAGAAGACTGTTTTTTCTTGACTTTGACATTTTAATTACTTCTCCTCCTAGTTGCTTATTTGTGGGAGACTGACATACTGTTATGTTTATCACAGTGCAAAATGTTTGTGATTTATGCTAGCAGCCTGTTTTATCTTTCCAAATGATGCAAACAAGTTAACACAAAGTAGAGGAAATCATTGGCTAGCAGGCAGTCATTCTTGTGTGGCTTCAAGTTTTAATATTACTTCATTTGGAAATTTTATACAAGAACAATTTGCATTTTGTACACATTTGCTTATGTTTTGATTTTGTACACAATTATGTACACATATGACTGGAAATAAAAAAGCTTGTTTGATATGTTTCCATTCAAGTTATGCCAGATAAATTGGTAGAGCCTATTACGTTGGCATTTCTCTGTTAGTTCTGTTTCACTTGCTCAGCTGGATCATCTGTGGACTTTTGAAAGACAAGATGTTACCTCGGAACTGATCTTCAGAAATAATTAAGTTACTAAAGCTAGATATGTTGATACTTGGAATCGTGACTGGCTGCAGATACATGGAATTGTGACGCAGTGCAGATGGGTGGTACAGGGGCTGGAGGGCTGCAGTGCCCGAAGGGCCAGTCCCCAGCAGGTGTGGTGTTGCTTGAAAGAGGGAGTGCTGTCCAGCACAGATCAGGCTGGAAAACGGCACCCACTTTTGCCAGAGACTGCATTGCAGTAGCTTCCTACCGGTGGAGTTGTTTGAAACAAATCAAGGTATTTTATTTTATCTCAAGGCCTTTGGGTATTATTTTGTGGCATACACTTAATACTTAAGTTATAATTGGTCAGAAGGTTTCTACTGAAAGGGAAACTGTATTTGTGTGCAACAGCCTTTATGAAAATCACCCGTTTTGTTCTAAAATTACAGTTCTATAGTGGAAAACTTAATGGCTAAAAAGGGAAATATTTTTGTTTAGAAGGGAATGTTGCTGCAGTGTATTGTGGTTGGGTTAATTTGAGTGTCTTTTGTCGACATTCTTCATATGGTTCAACATGTTCTCATGGCCAGGAGCTCTCATCATCCATTACTTCTCCTCTGCGGTAGCTGTAATTTGAATTTTATGAACTGTGTCCTCTTTAAATCTTTTCTTTTTGCTTTTCTAGGTTTGTCTGAGATTCCTGGCTGCCAACTCTGTCAAGAGTTTTTGTACAGGCCTGATTTTGAGGCCTGTAAGTCATAGATACTATAACAGCATATCTACCAGTTTTGCTTACAGCTTTGCACCTTGAGTCTGGTGCTTCGGGGTAGATCTGAATTTGTTGGATGTGAGCTGTATGGTATGTGTATAATGATTTCTACCAGGGAGACAACAGATGTGGTAATGGAGAGACACATTTTTGTTGCACAGGCGTACAAACTCAATTTAGAGTTGAGAATGGATGCCCCTGGTGTCCCACACATCATCATGCCATTATTTCCCATCTGAATAAATTTTAGCCTTTGCCTGAAATGTTCTAATTGAATTTACTTTAAGGGAAATGTAGACAAAATACCTTTTTTGAGTAATGCTAGTACAAAGCTTCTGAAGGATGCTCTTTTGTAGTCTTCAAGGCAGATACACAATTCTTTGTGCCTGCTTTTTCTGATTGTTTATCTAGTTCAAGAGGGTTTTTTGTTTTGTTTTTCTGAATGTTTCAGACCAACCTTCAAACATGTTTCCTGTTGTGTTTTCCAGCAAGCTGAATGTGGAAAAAAGGTTCAAAAGTGCACCCTTTATTAATAATTACAAATGCGTGCTTTACAGTGAATGTGTATTGTTTTCTGTCAAGGAAATCTGACAAGCCTTGACGTGGAGAGACCAAGTAGATAAACAAGGAGGAAGGCAGTTGCCAATAGGAGATATATCTGAGGAATAAACAGCCTTGGGAGTTTGTCAACTTAAGGTCAAGATTTACAAAACCAGCACGTTAATAGTGGACCCAGTCGATAAGCATTGAGTTGAATATCTTCAGCTGCTGTTCCCAAGCTGGGTGAACTTGCTGAGTGAATCTCACTGCTGGGGATTCACAGCTCTCGACCACCTGCACAAGTAAATAAGCTGGCTCTTCCTCCCAGACTGCTGCCACATGGGAAAAGGCCTTTTACCCAGTATCCCTGCCAATAAAGTGTAACCCCAGCAAGCCCACAAAGAGCAGACTTGATTCCAGTCTGTTACTTCTGAAAAATTTCCTGTCTTGCCAGACAATAAGCCTGTTGCCTCTTTGTGGGAATGAAAAGCAAGCTCCTAGTTTCTTCTAATGAATCTTTTTTTTGGATAAAAGTAGTTGGTGGCTTAAGGGTTTGAACAAAGATCTCTCTATTCCCAAAGGAGAGTTTTGAGGATTTTGCTAAATGTTTACAGTAGCCACAAGGTAGTATTTAGGCACTTGCATCCTTTTATGGCTCTGAGCTTCTGTTTCTTTGCAGAGTGTCAGTTTCCAGTGTCATTTCATGATGCATCAGCCTTCGCTACTTAAAATTCTGAAATTACTCCTGAAACCCTGGATTGAACAGCTTGAGAAGAATCAGTTGGAGCTTTCCAGCTCTGCACGGAAATCTGTGAGAACATCAGGGATTGTGGATAATCCCATCCAATTAAAAAAAATCTGATAAAATGTGTTGGTTTTGCAATAACATTTTGTTGTTGATTTTAAATTTTGATTCCTTACTGAGGTGAGTTCTGAAACATAATGTGAAGTATATAATGTCTTTAACCTTACAAATGTAAACAGTGAAGTTTCTTTAGCTATCAGAGCTAGATTGCTTTTAGGAAGGTGTAGGCAACAAGGCATGTTTTTGGGATATACAGTCTGGATTAAGTCCCAAGGCCACCCAGTGTTCTTCTAGTGATACCTAAGTTATTGTGTATGTTTTTATATAGGGATTTTTCAGCTTTTTTATGATGAATAGCACCATGTCTTCTGTATGGCTCATAGGGATCCCTGTGTATTGATTGAAAACCTCCTGAAAATGGATTTGCCTTCTCCGATGCTATACAGGTAGCCTGAGTTCCCCCTGGACCTAAGGGTCGCAGCCTGAAACCCAGGGTATGCTGCAGAAAGGTGAAAGGAAGCGATGTTACTTACCAGCCACCAGCTTTCCTCTTCACTTACAAATTCTTCAAGTCCAGGTACTAAGATGTTTTCCTTATCTGACTCGGTGTCATCATTTTCTGGCAGATAGCAGGGGAGGAAAAAGGGTTTTCCAAGTACTATCTGTAATACTCGAGCAAATTTGTAGCACTTGAAGATGGGGCAGGAAGCACAGCTTCTTTGAACAATTTAGTGTGTGCTTATTTGCATAATGCCATATTGCTTCATTACATCTGCCTGTTCCTGCAAGGCTGAGCTGACACCTGATGTTCTGGTATCACAGCAGTTCTTACTGTCTGGTAAAATGTGTCAGCAAAGAGCGCCGTCACCATCTGATGCAAGTGGAAGTTTTGCTGTACCCTCACTGACCAATTTTTAGCGTGGCCTGAAGCAAAATTGTTCCATTACTCAGATGTACACAGATGTGTGATAAAGAAATCAAGTGGAACTGTAATTTTAATGTTAAGAAACCTAAATTAATGTCCTGATTCCAGCAGTTATTCAAACCTTTGCAGACAGGAGCCTTGGGAAGAGAGGGGAAGATGGTGGAGCTATGGTTAACTCTTTGGAGTGCAGTTAGTTCCTTAGCTTTGCTCTGCATCAAAACCTGGGGGAAAGTGTTAATCACATAGCAGCGATCACACTGAAAGCAAAAGCTGGAGGGAGGATAGTGGGTGGTAGCTAAGCAGAAAACTCCAGTTTCATAGAAATTGAAGTTTTGTTCTGCTTTTTGACCTGAGTATAATACTGTGTTGAAGAAGGACATCTGGAGTTCCATGTTAAAAATGTGAATAAGCTGCCTAAATATTCTGATACGTACTACAGTTCATCTGTGTTGGATGTGAGCTGACCTTGCAGGGTTTCTGTTTCACAGGCTGTGTTCTAGAGAATCTCTTGGATGGACAGCCCTGCCCAGCAGATCTCAACTTGATGTGCCGAATGTGCTGTGTGTAGGAAAAGTCCTGAGAAACTGCAGGATGGTGCTCAGTGGTCCTGCACTATCTTGTTAGGGTGGAGGACTGAGA